GGAGGGTGAGGCCCTCCATGGAGGATCTCCAGAGTCTGTCATTTCATCCAGGGCCTAAGCCTTCCTCCAAGAGTCCAGGCTGCGAGAGCATCCCTCATTGTAGGATGGGCAGCCAAAGTCCGTTATACCAACCAGACACACTTTTATTCCCCTCCCATACTGATTGGTTGGTTGGTTATGGTGGGCTAAGAATGAATAAGAAAGAACGCAGGGCCTAGCATAGGTCAGGCAAGCACTCTTGCCACTGTCTTCGGCCCCAGATGTACCTTCTCCAAAAACAACTTGACCCCTAATTGTGTTTCCCATGAGAGTGATGATACTTGCTTCCTGTTCTTGAGGCTCTTAACTAGGGTAGGTCAGGCTCCCGGTATGGTGGGTGTCTAGTAGCAGTCTCTAGATGGCAGCTGTTGTTATCTGCATTCTCAGTAAATGGAAGGGGACTAAAGGGACAGTGGTAGGCCATGGCCAAGACCATTCTTCTAAAGCAAGGACAGAGGGGGGTGGCTTTGATGTAGAAGTTGGGAATAGAGCTTTCCTGGCCAGTCACACACTCCCCTCCTCACAGGCAGCTCCTCTCCTACATCACCAAGGACAAACAGACTGAGAGCTTGGTGGAGAAGCTGTGTCATCGGTTCCGCACAGCCCGGTATGCTGCCACGTTGGGAGGTCTTTGTGCCAAGAGGGACTCTTTCCTTTAAAGAGTGGTGCCCCTGTACCAAGGGAGACTGAAGCGGGAGGGCATGCCTGCCTCACAAAGTCCCTCCCTTGTGCAGAACTGAGCGGCAGTACCGGGATCTGGCCTACTGTGTGTCCCAGCTGCCCCTCACAGAGCGAGGCCTCCACAAGATGCTGGACAACTTTGACTGCTTTGGAGATAAACTAGTAGATGAATCTGTCTTCAGTGCCTTTTTGTCCGTTGTGGGCAAACTGCGTCGTGGGGCCAAGCCTGAGGGCAAGGTGGGTGGTGCAGGGTCACTGGCCCTGTGGGTTCCAGTGCCGTGAGCACAGTCTGTTCTCCCTGAGGGTTAGGGGCCAGCCTCACTACAGCCATTTAACTAGAGTGACTTGAGACCAGACCCTTCTATGTCCACTTCCTGGTCCCTTTCTCGGATTTATCTTATTTTATATACAGTAGTATTTTGCCTGTGTGTGTGTCTATGTGAAGGTGCCAGATCCCTGGAACTTGAGTTAAGGACAGTGTGAGCTGCCATGTGGGTGCTAGGAACGGAGCCCAGGTTTCCTGCAGGAGCAGCCAGTGCCATCTCTAGCCCCCAGTAAAGGCCAGTTTCTGCTTGAGACATGGTCTTTCTGTGTAGCTCTAGCTGGCTACAGTAGACCAGACTGGCCCCAAATTCACAGATTCCCCTGCCTCTGCCTCCCATGTGCTGGTAGGAAATGTGTACCCCACATGCTCTGCTTAGAGTAGTTTCGTGTTTAAAGCAAAACTAAGTAAGTAGAGTCCCCGTTTGGTCCTGTCCTCTGCTCCATCTCCTTCATATCCTTGGGTACCGTGGTCTTAGTCTACATTGAGCTGATGAATGAATGTGATTGAGTGACTGAATGAATGACAGATCAGCACCCAAAGTCCACAGTTCACACTGATACTGGGTTCACTGTACAGTGGCACATACTTGTCACCACAGTGTCATAGTGGACATTTTCATTACCCTAAGGCCACATCACCTCTGTGGTGGTGTCACTCAGTGGTAACCTCACCATATATGGTGATTTCATATTGGCTTCTTTTACTTAGGATAAACATTTGAAGTCTGTTTCTTTATGTCTGTCTTAAAGAAGGGAGCTAATGTTTCCAGTGCTGTTTTCACCTTTTTTCTCTAGACTACCATAGATGAATTCGAGCAGAAGCTTCGGGCCTGTCACACCAGGGGCATGGATGGAATAGAGGAGCTCGAAACTGGCCAAGGAGGCAGCCAGCAAGCCCTGTCTGCCAAGAAACCCTCTGCCGGTATGAGACAAGCCCACAGTGGGACTCCCTTCACTCATTTATTTTTTTCTTTGTGCTTGGTTTCTGTTTTTGAAATCATGTCTCCCTGCCATTTCTAGTCTCAAGGCGACAGCCTCTGACTTCTGTAGATTCAGACAACGACTTTGTCACACCTAAGCCTCGACGTACCAACCATCGTCGTCCAAACACTCAGCAACAAAAGTCCAAGAAGAAGAAAGTCAAAGTTGTCTTTTCAAGTGATGAGACCAGCGAGGATGGTATGACTCGATTGCCTTGGGGTCCCCTTGGGGCTTGCCTGGGTGTGGAGTTACTCTTCTTGGTAATATCTTCCCCACTGTGCAGGTACCTGGCTGACCTCCGCAGTGTGCTTTGCAGCTCTATTTATGTTTTAAGATCCACTTTAGAGCATCTTTGTGACTCAGCTTTTGTTCCTATAATCCTTTGACTAGAACTTTCAGCGGAAATGACAGAAGAAGAGACACCCAAGAGAACCACCCCGATCCGCAGGTCATCTGCCCGAAGACACAGGTCCTAGGAGCTGCCTTCTCCTATCTATTCCCATCCCTGCTGTGCAGGGTACCTTATTGGATGCCTTTGAATTCACTTCCTCCCTTGTAGAAGTGTTTGCTGCCGCCTTGTTTTTAGCATGTAAATGGTCTTTGCACTCAAGCCCTTCCCTTAGAGCCCATCTGACTGCCGCTTTCACTTTCCAAGAAACACTTCATGTTTTCTAAGAATAAATGTTTTTACATACTTTTAAGCATTCTGTCCTATGCTGGTCTCTGTTTCATCTTTCACTTAGCCCAGACTCAGTGATAGAGGGTTACCAAACCAGAGAGAAGGAAGATAGATAGGCAGCCCAGGCATCCTGGGCTGTCTCTGGTCTTCATGTCTCCTCATCTGGCCCAACTGGTGAGGTTCCACTGAAGAGAATTCTGTGGTTTCTGCGCTTACGTAAGCGCTTCTCAGCCTGGGGGTACTTTGTTCCCCAGAAAACATTTAACTATACCCGGAGACCTATTTCTGTCATAGCCTTGTGGGACACAGAGCGAAAGCCTTGGATGATGCTAATGTCCTTCATGCATAGAACATCCCACAACAGTGTATCCAGAGTGTGCAACTTGAGAAACACTTCTCTAGACCCACTGTTTCTTTCCTCCGTGTGCCACATCCCAGAAGAGATCACGAACCCCAACTCTGCTGGTGCCAAGGTCTATCCCCCAAGAGTCAGCCTTCACTATGCTGTGGGGTCTGCAGGGGGTGCTGTGTGCTGCCCACCCTCCCCCAAGTCCTTAGTCTGCTGAGTCACTTGGAACAGGAGACACTGATGCTTCTGCTGTCATGACAACAGCACACTGCCACAGAAATGCTCCCTACCTCTTGTGTGTGTGTGGGGGGGACAAAAGACAGGCAGGAGGCACCTCAGAAGCATGCTTTAGGCTAGGGCAGGGTTGTAGAGGGGCTCCTGAGACCTTTTGATGGGAAAGCGTTAATGCTCCTGGAACTTCTGCTGGAAGGAAGGCAGAAAGGGGCAGGGTTGCGGCCCACCCCTGCATTTCCAGCATGTTCACTTGGCCTGGCCCCTGCTCATGAAAAGCCTGGGCATGGACCACACAGCTGTCAGTCTCAAAGCCTTGGCTCTGGGGCTCCAAGGAGGTAGGGCAATCCCAGAAGGGCAAGGAGCCAGGACTGGATTTGGGGTGCAGCCCAGCCTGCTCCCTGCCTTTTAAGCAGAGGTTATCATCAGGCCAGCTAAACTTAGCAAGTAGGCTCTTCAGCTACAAGAGCAGGGGGCTCGTCTCAAGTTGCACTGGTCTAGCAAAGAGGCCCCAGGATTCCCCTGCCCTGCTCCTGTGGCTGTGCTCCCAAACCCTTCCGAGAGCTCAGAATCCACCCTTCCCACCTTCCCGACGCTTCGGAGGAGGAACCCCCCTTCTCCTTCCCACTTGTGAGAGTGGGCTGGGGCCTGCCGGTTCTGGCTCAGGGTAGAATACCCCCACACACACCTCTTCTACTTTTCCCTCCTCTCAGACCTCACCCTGCCTCCACGAGGGCAGTCAAGAAAGGAGAGTCCCTGGCTGCAGGGCCAGTAGGCACGTCCCAGGACGGGGAGGGACTTCCGCCCTCACGTCCAGCTCCCCGCCCTGGGGCTGCAGTGGGTGAAAGGGGCAGTGTTTCCTAGCCTGGGCGGTGCAACCCTCAGGTTCCGAGGAGCGACATTCTGGGAGGCTTCTTTGCCTCCTCCAACCCAACCCACAACCAGGACATTGTCCTCACCCCAGGGCCCCAACCTAGACCTTAACTGGTGAACACAGAGGCATGTTTGTAAGTCTTAATAATCAGGTCTCTAGGTTGCAGGGCATCCCGACCTATGGCGTAGGGACCGCCCCTTCAGGCCGCTTCCCTAGCCTCCTCCTTGTCCTCACAGCCCAGTGCACAGGCCAGCCCTCTGGCCCAAGAAAGAGAAGCCTGGAGGAAGTGGAGGTGGAGGGCGGGGGATGGGACCGAGAATGCGGCGAGCCCCCGCAGGAGGCAAAGTGGCCCCTCCCGGGCCTTTTCTGCTCGGCTGCTTATTTTTTGCCTGTGTCACTACCAAAGAACAACGAGAAGATCCTCAACTTTTCCACAGCCTTTTCAAAAAGGGGAGAGGGACGACGGTGCAGCTGTGGGCAGACACGCACTTCTGCGCTATCCCCCCGCCCCCGTTCCTGCAGCTTCCAAGGTTCTCTCATTTTATCCGGCTGGCAGCTTTCAGGTCCCTGGGTCCTGGACGTCCTTAGTGCACACTCCTCATCCTTAAGTTCATAGTCTATTCCCTCGGCCTTATCCTGTCCCCCATCACCGGTTCCCCTCCCCCTCTCAGCCCCGAGCCCACACGTTTGGTGCGTGCACATTTCAAAAACGAGGCGGGTCCAAAGAGAGGGGGGTGGGGAGGCACCGACAGGCCCTGCTACTCGCGGCTTTACGGGTGCACGTAGCTCAGGCCTCAGCGCCCTTGAGCTGGGACTGGATGAGCGGGACGGGAGGCGGGGCGAGCGTCATCAGCTCCCCACCACCACCCCAGTTTCTATAAATACGGACTGCAGCCCTCCCCGGTGCTCTCTGCTCCTCCCTGTTCTAGACGCAGCCGCATCTCTTCGTGCAGTGCCAGGTGAAAAACCGCAGGGTGGGCCGCATGTGGCCTGGGACGGTCGGAAGCTGGGAAGGGGGGCGCGCTCTGTCCGGGACTGGGGGCGGCAGGGCGAGCTCCACTGGCCGAGCCCGGGCTCCGCATTGCAGAGGCTGGAGGTGGACGTGATGGGTCGCGCGGCGGGAATGGAGGCGGGGGGGGGGTCTCCTGGTGACCGTGGTCCACGCTGATCTCAACTTCTTCTCCCGCAGCCCCGTTCCTGAGACACAATGGTGAAGGTCGGAGTGAACGGGTAAGTTCATGGCTGGACTAGGGTGGGGCTTCGGGTCCCACTCCGTTGCGTATGCTGGTCTGCCTGACCCGGGGGCTTTGCAATAGCGTGGGGTGGTGGATGGGTGACCGCAGCACCCAAGGAGACCTCAAGGTCAGCGGACGAAGGCTCCGGCTCCGCCCTTGCGGGGATGAGCAGCCCGGAGTCCTCTCTAGGAGGACCATCCCCCGCGTGCACGCCAGCTTAGGATCCATCTCCTAATCCCCCGGCTGGGGCTTCTTTCTTTACTTTCGCGCCCTGAGGCGTCACGTGGCAGAAGGGGAGCCCCTCCCCCCATCACCCCCATCCTCACCGTCGGTGGCCCACTTAGTGCATCATCTCTCAAGGGCTTCCTTTAGGGTGACTGGCCGCCGCCATGTTGCAAACGGGAAGGAAATGAATGAACCACCGTTAGGAAACCTTCCTTCGGCCTTCCTCCTTCCTAGCTAGTGACTAACTCCCCACTCCCTCTGCCGGGTGGAGTCGCCTCTATCCTGTAAGCCAGGTGATGCAAGGCTTCGCTTCCGTGCTCTCAAGAGAGCTCTACCTTACAAGCCGCCTCATCTTATTAGCCTTAAAGCAGCCCCTCACGCCTCATTTTCTTCTAGCATTTTGTAGATTCTCTGAGAATCGAAGCGGGCGTAAAGAGGTCCGCTTGTCCTTCTCCCAGCCCCAAAGGTGCTGGCTATGGCGTAGTGCGTGAGGGGGGTGGAGGGAGCTGAGTCATGGTGGTTCCGAAAAGAAAATTTCCAGCACAAAATGGCTCCGGTGGTGGCATCCCCTTCCCCCATAACCTCCATTTCCATAACCAAACCCTATAGGCCGGACTGTAAAGGTCACTAAGAGGATTGGGTGTCTGAGCCTCGGATCCTGCCCTTCTCCCCATTCCATCCTCTGGAAACCAGATCTCCCCACTCCACCCTAATCTGAGGTTAAATTTAGCCGTCTGACCTTTACTTTCTGTATCTGGGGTCTGGGCTCCTCCACCCTGTTGGCCCCTACACACATCTGTTGCTCCTGCTCCTGATTTTTAGCTAGCAAAGACAGGTGCTTTGCAAATTAGAGCCCAGGGTTTAGGGATTGGAAAGCCCAGTGGCTTCCTTAGTCTCTTTCCCTTTAGGGGGAGGGACTTGGAGAAAGCAGGTTGGCTGACCCTGTCCTGCTCATCCTGACCTTTAACCTTGCCCTTTGAGCTTGGTGATGCTGAGTGCACAAGTCCTTCCTGTCCAGGGGGTGTAGCCTGAAGCCGGGCCAGGCTGGAAAAGCTTCCCAGGGGGTGATGAATGTCCTGCCCACGCAGGGGCACACTGCCCCCCAGAGACTTGAAATGACTGGGGATGGACAAGGCTTTGAGCCTAATCATCTCTGGAGAGGAGCCTCCACTTTATGGCCTGCAGTAAAAGCCCAGCCAATCCCGTTTGCTCAAGGAAGATAGAATCAGACCTCTTGGCTTCCTAAGGATGGAGGTGTTCTATATTTGAGTTCTGCTTCTAAGCATTCAACCAGCTTTATTAAAGGAAATTCAGAACAAAACTTGAATTTCCTGCTTCTTTACACCTAATACTGTACTGAGTCTTTGTCGTGACATGCATAGTTATGGTTTCTGTGGGTTCTCTACAGCTAGGAGACACCTGGATTCTGTTTTCTGAAGAGCATGTGTCTGCCCAGTGCTGACTAGAGAGGCCTATGAGGAATTCTCTGACCCCCAACTCCTTTTTTTTTTTCCTTACCTCAGATTTGGCCGTATTGGACGCCTGGTTACCAGGGCTGCCTTCACTTCTGGCAAAGTGGACATTGTTGCCATCAATGACCCCTTCATTGACCTCAACTACATGGTGGGTGCTAATCCCACGGGTAAGGGGGCGGGGTGTTTACTGATTCAGTCCCTTGATGCCCTCCCTCATTTGTTCCCCCCAGGTCTACATGTTCCAGTATGACTCTACCCATGGCAAGTTCAAAGGCACAGTCAAGGCTGAGAACGGGAAGCTTGTCATCAACGGGAAGGCCATCACCATCTTCCAGGAGCGAGATCCCACCAACATCAAATGGGGTGATGCTGGTGCCGAGTATGTTGTGGAGTCTACTGGCGTCTTCACCACCATGGAGAAGGCTGGGGTGAGTGGCCAGAGGGCTGAAGATGAAGGGAACTCTGATTTGGTGCCTACAAAGTAAGAACGGGGTCTGAAATCAACTTTTGCACACAGGCCCACTTGAAGGGTGGAGCCAAGAGGGTCATCATCTCCGCACCTTCTGCTGATGCCCCCATGTTTGTGATGGGTGTGAACCATGACAAGTATGACAACTCCCTCAAGATTGTCAGGTGAGGATAGCAGAGGGCTGTTGCAAGGTGGGCAAGCAGGGGTGAGGTTACAGGTGGGTGAGCCTTCTAACCCGCCTCTTCTCTTCAGCAATGCATCCTGCACCACCAACTGCTTAGCCCCCCTGGCCAAGGTCATCCATGACAACTTTGGCATTGTGGAAGGACTCATGGTATGTAGTCCACCTGGTCGTCCTATAGGCAGAGGGTCCTGCTGTGTGGGCGCTGTGGCGGGTACCTTGCAAGACCTTGCTCACTGTCTCCGTGTTTTCCAGACCACAGTCCATGCCATCACGGCCACCCAGAAGACTGTGGATGGCCCCTCCGGGAAGCTGTGGCGTGATGGCCGTGGGGCTGCCCAGAACATCATCCCTGCATCCACTGGTGCTGCCAAGGCTGTGGGCAAGGTCATCCCAGAGCTGAACGGGTGAGCTTTTGTTCACAGGGGGAATTAATGGGATGGGGAGTGGCGGCAGTAATCTGGGCTGACCAAACCTCCCTGTGTCTGCAGGAAGCTCACTGGCATGGCCTTCCGTGTTCCTACCCCCAACGTGTCCGTCGTGGATCTCACATGTCGCCTGGAGAAAGCTGTATGTCTGGGGTGGGCTGAGGGTTGTCTCTGGTAGGGTGGTGAGGTTGGGGCTTGAGTAGTCATCTTGTTTTTGCCCTTACTAGGCCAAGTATGAAGACATCAAGAAGGTGGTGAAGCAGGCATCCGAGGGCCCACTGAAGGGCATCCTGGGCTACACCGAGGACCAGGTTGTCTCCTGCGACTTCAACAGTGACTCCCACTCTTCCACCTTTGATGCTGGGGCTGGCATTGCTCTCAATGACAACTTCGTAAAGCTCATCTCCTGGTATGTGCGATGTGATCAGAAACGGGCTTTTAAAACTTGGGGTTGGCACCCCCTGGTGTTTAGCCCAAAAAGTAAACCCTCCTAACTGTCCTCCCAATGTGTTTAGGTATGACAATGAATTCGGCTACAGCAACAGGGTGGTGGACCTCATGGCCTACATGGCCTCCAAGGAGTAAGAGACCCACCCTGGATCATCCATCCACCCCAGCAAGGACTCAAGCAAGAGAGAGGCCCTGGCTGCTGAGCAGTCCCTGTCCACCAACCCCCACACTGGTCATCTCCCTCACAGTTTCCATCCCAGACCCCCAGAATAAAGGAGGGGCTTAGGGAGCCCTGCTCTCTTGAATACCATCAATAAAGTTCACTAGACCCGTCTTCCTTGGTGTTTGCTTCAGTACAGGGTTGGGAGGCTGACCTAGCAAGGCTGGGAAGGCTTCGCCTTCTGCATATAGCTTTGTCACGCAGGGCATTACAGAGTCCAGGGCCACCATGTAGCTACGTGCCAGCTCAGGTTTCCTGTCCTGAACAGGTCAAAAGCTGCCTAAGATGACTTGGCACCAGGAGTGGGGTTGACAATGGGAACCAGGAGTATGGTCTTAGACTTGGGTTGGGCTGCATCAAGTTCCAGAACGGTCTTATCTGCAAACAGGTCAAATGTGTCTGGAGGCCTCAGGTAAAATTGGAAGGATGCCCAGCACAGTAAAAATGTATCAGTGAGGGGAGTGACTGCTGTACCCTGAAACAGCTGAGCTGGTGCCCGCAGCTGTCACTATCTTTAGGTGTGGTTCACTGGCGGACATTGAAGTGCTTTGGTTCTTGGTGCCTCATTGTTTGCTATGAAGACAGCATAAGGTCTTAGGCTGGGCATGGTGGTGCATGCCTCTAATGCCGGCAATCCCAGCAATGGAGTGGCAGAGGCAGGAGGATCTGAATTTGAGGCCAGCCTGGGTTGTTACAGAGAAACCCATCTCGGAAAAAGGAAAAACCAAAGACCAGCAGAAAGTGTTCAACACAGGGACACAAAAGTGCTCAATAAATACTCCTTCATTGCTTTCAGAGATTCCACTAATGTCAGCTTGGCAGGGTCTCCAATGAGACATCTTGACTTGGTCCCCTGCTTTCCAAGGTCAGGAACATCTTAACCTATTGGTTTTGTGAATGACAGCCACGGAGGCATTCATTCCTTCTGATCCCCAGAGAGCCAGGCCCTGGGCACACACCCATGTGCAGGAGGGAGCGTCACCTTTTCCTCTGAGCAGTGTCTGCCTTCAGGACCCCGCCCTCAGCCCAGACACTTGAGTCCTCTGTGTGCACTTCCCAGAGGAAAAGCTGCACGGCCACATTCCCTGTACAGCAGGCAGGAGGGCAGCTGTGAGCTCGGGGACACAAGGCCAGGTACCCCGCTTCCCTCCAGGCACCCCTTCGGGAGTACGTGATGCGAAAGTCGGGGACTCCCAGATGAGTGTGCTGCACAGCAGTGCCTGGACCAGTTAGCACCAGTACAAAAGTCCAAGCTAGCCAAGGAGAACAGGCAGGTCCCACAACCACATTCCTTACACATGGAGACGGGAGGATTACAGGTGTTCTGGCGGCGTTTCCAAAGATGGACAAGTAGCAAACAGTCACGAGTGAAGGCAGGAATGCCCCAACGTGATGGGAGTCGTCCAGGAAGGGTGAGGCCAAGCCTAGCTCCAGACCCCCCAGGGGCCCTGGGGAGGGACAGCCCCAGGGCCAGGCTTCATGCAGTGGCACGAAAGGCCCCCACCCCGCCTCAGTGAGCTCTGGGGAGCCAGGCGCTGGTCCCTATCTCATGGCACTATCAGATGAGACGTGGCAATCGGAGGCCTCGGCTTCGCTCGGCGGTGGCGGTGGGTCGCTAAGCGGGACCGCAGTGAAAGCAGGAGACTTTCTAGAAAAAAACACCAGATGTCACCTTGGGGCAAGCCGGACGCTTAAGGAGGCCTGCATACTTGCTCTCCTTCTCATGGCCTTATCTTTTGGGGCACAGCCGAATGCCAGGCAGGGAAGTGGGGTGGTAAGACACGTCCCCATTCATCTCGATGGGGAACAGTTCCCCTCTTGGAGGCTCTGAGAAGCTCAGGGATCAGAAAAGCCTCAAGTCACAACATGGAGATGCTTCCTGATCCCACAATGTACTGACCCAGGGCCCAGCTTCCTGTCCAGCTGTAACGGGAGGAGGGGGTGGGGGGGAGGGGACTGTCTCACTATGTTGCCAAGGCTAACCCCCCAACACCTGGCAAAAGCAATCCTGCCTCCAGAGTAGCTGGGATGACAAGCAAAACCCCAGTACACACGCTGCACACTGTGCCCAGCTTAATGTAACTGGGGAGTGGGTTGGGGTTTTTGTCTTGAGACAGGGTCTCAGTATGCATCCCTGGCTGGCCTGGAACACTACAGGGTCTCAGTATGCATCCCTGGCTGGCCTGGAACACTACAGAGTGGTGAGACTGGCCTGGTACTTGTGGCAATCCACCTGCCTGTGACACCTATGCGCCTGATGACAGATGTCGCCACCACACCTGGCTTACTGTGGCTCCTCAGATTTTACCTGTTGCTGTTGCTGGCTGTTTTATTTTGAGGCAAGTTTTTGCTATTGTAGTCGAGTACAGCTTCACACTCATGGCAGTCTTTTGTTTCAGCCTCCCAAGGCTGGGCTGGGCACCACCATGCCTGGGTTACACGTTTTTTAATGTAATTTATTTTTATCCTGTGCTAAGTGGTGTTTGCCTGCATGTATGTCTGTATGACGGTATCAGAAGCCCTGGAATTGGAGTTACAGACAGTTGTGAGCTGCCATGTGGTCACTGGGAATTGAACCCAGGTCCTCTGGAAGAGCATCCAGTGCTCTTAACCAATGAGCCACTTCTCAGGACCCAGATTTTTTTTTTAAGTTTTCTCTCTCTCTCTCTCTCTCTCTCTCTCTCTCTCTCTCTCTCTCTCTCTCTCTCTCTCTCTCTCTCTCTCTCTCTGTGTGTGTGTGTGTGTGTGTGTCTGTGTATGTATGTATGTATGTACCAATGCACAGGGTCTCACACAGGCTAGACAAGTACTCTACTACTGAGCTATATTCCCCAAACCCAAATTTAATCTTACACAAGGTCAAATACATAAATCATGACTAAGACTTTGGACAAAAACCTGCCCCTGTATCTTTTCGTTCCTGGCCAGGTTCCGGCTCTCAGACACTCAGAGTTGGGGCAATGGTAGGCATCATCTGACCACCAGGGCAGGGAGAGGAAGCTACCAATCTGGGCCACACCTAAAGGTGACTCCCAAGAACAGCTCCACTTGAAGATGTGACTTGGTCACTGCCCACAGGCCATCAGGGCTCTGTCCCACGCTTCTTTCCCGGGCTGGGGTCCTTACCGGTCCCCTGACTGTGTGATGAGCCGGCGGCAGGTCTCCATCTGCACGTCCAGGCCCCGCTTCATGCTGCACATCTCCATGTACTCGTGCAGGTGCCGGTTCATGTCATTCTTGGCCGTGGCCAGCTCCAGCTGCAGTAAAGTAGGGCAGGGCAGGATGAGGACGTCAGCAAGCCCAAGGCAGACTGGGGATTAGAGCCCAGCTGGGCCCCGGAGGCCGGGCAGCCATAGTCAAAAGCTTGGACTTCAAAAGAAACCAAACAGGTGGCAGAATCGTCAAGCACACCACGACTGCCTGTTTTCCCTGGGATCTGGGGACAGGGACAGTTATTAGCGATCTAACTCCAGGGGGGCAGGGACAGTTATTAGCAATCTAACTCCAGGGGGCAGGGACAGTTATTAGCAATCTAACTCCAGGGGGCAGGGACAGTTATTAACGATCTAACTCCAGGCCCTCACTCTGGCTGGGCAAGGGCTCAGGACAGTGCTCACTCAGCCCTTTCCTGGGAGTCTGTGCACCGCCACTGTGCCCCACCCCCAGAACCAGCTAGGTGCCTGGGTTCCTTTTAAGAGAGCAGTAAGAGGGCTGGAGAGATGGCTCAGAGGTTAAGAGCACTGACTGCTTGCTCTTTCCAGAGGTCCTGAGTTCAATTCCCAGCAACCACATGGTGGCTCACAACCATCCGTAAAGATATCTGGTGCCCTCTTCTGATGTGCAAACGTACATGGAGGCAGGATGTTGTATTCATAATGAATAAAATCTTAAAAAAAAAGAGAGCAGTAAGAGCACACACAGTACAGTGAACACACCCAGGACTCCAACACTCAGGGGCCGAGGACGGTCTGATGTAAACCTAAAATCTAAATAGTAAAATCTGGTCTCAGTTCGAGGCCAGCCTGGTCTACAAGAGCTAGTTTCAGGACAGCCTCCAAAGCCACAGAGAAACCCTGTCTCGAAAAAACAAAAAAAAAAAAAAAAAAATCTGGTCTCAAAAAGAGGAGAGAAGTCAGGCATGGTGGCACACACCTTTGATCCCGGTGCTCAGAAGGGGAGGCAGGAGGATCAGAAGTTGAGGATCAGTCTGGTCTATAGCATGTTTGAGGCCAGCTTGAATTACATAAAAAGACTGTTTCAAAAAAAAAAAGTCAGCGATGCACCTGTGTGGTCCTGGCCTCCAATTCCTACAGCTCCTAACTCGAAAGCAGAGAGCAACAAGGAAAGGGTGTCCGTGTGGACAGGGCCGAGTGAACCCCAATGGTATGAGCAGAAACACGGTCTATGGGATGCTTTGCTCCTCCCTGGGCTTCTCTGCCTCGGCTCACCCAGGTTCTCTGGGCAGGACACTGGCCTTCCTCGGTGACTCAAGAGCTCAGTTCCCAAGGGTAGGCAGAGTCCTGCTCATCTCTGCATCTCTCTATCTCTGCATCTCTGCTGCCACTGAGCCCTCCCTCGGCTGAATCTAATTCACTGTGAAGTAGCCCAAAGACTCACTGCAATGGAGGAAAACTGGTTTGTGTTTACAGCGTTTCACTCCTTCATTTTCCCATTCATAACCCATTCCCCCACACGAGAGAGATGTCCATACAAAATGTGTCCTAATTTCAGAAATTCTGCATGGAAGAAACGGGGTCCTTGCATCAAGAAAAGACTCCCCCCTCCCCCCCTCTCCCCGCCAACCCCAGAGCTGTGTCTCAGCCAGGTTGGAGACAGAGAAAAAGTGGGCTGAGACGGAAAAGTATCTAGGCCAGAGACAAGCTGTTGCCTCTCTTTGTTTTCGGTACAAAGGCCAGGGGCCGGAAGGGGAGAAGCAAACTGCTGTGGGGTGGTTTGCTTGGCTGCCTGAGGTGAGGGAAGGCAGGAGAGTGGCTGTGACGCATGTGAATAAGCAGTGGGGAAGCCACCCACAGCAAATGCGACTGAGAAAGAGGGTGGGAACGGGCAGAAGGAGGGAAATGAGCCCCGGGAGCGACAAAGGGGACAGCCAGGAC